GAACTATTATGATACAAGACTTTTAACTCAACCTTAACAATATATCATCACCAGGTTCTTCAGGCCACTCACTCCCTTCTTCAGGCCACATGAGTCATGTTTGGCAATGCTGCAATTAAATGATCAGATTTGGAGTTTGCGGCAAAAAATCTAGACAGGAATAACATCAGAGTTCTGGGTTTCGTCACAGGACAAGATCAGAGCGCCAATATGGGTTGGGGGAAGACACAGAGGCCATTGACAACCTGTTGAAACCGGTTCACTTGGTGGAACAATCATTAGCACATTCGCGTGGCGTCTCACGACACCCATCACACTCACAGTGCTGCCTTCCTTGATGTAACTGTGGGTTTGTTAAAGAGGAGAAGTCATTCAATCAGTAAGGCCGTGTTTGGAATTAAGAGAATGCTAAGAGACTGGTTTTCCTTTTTCATGCTTGGTTTTTTATACCTTGGGATATAAGAAAAAGAAGCCAAGTAAAATCCCATAAAAGTAGGGTCTGGGGAGGGTGTATATAGAAGTGAATATGTTGTTTCCAAGACCCAAAGCACAAAAAACACACGTATACAAGCTACATGCTAATGTATCAAAATGATCCTTGAGGTTTCCAAACCTTGCAAACAAGCCCTTGAAGCAGTTAGATTTTTCACAAATGGCCTTTTTTCACACATTAAGGTTACATAATAAAATAGAAGAGGGTGTGCATCTTCAGATTGAATGTAGTTTGTAACTGCGCTCCATCGACTTCAATTTTTAAAGCATTCTCTCTAAAAGAGTCTTCTGTACAAACACTCAGGCTCCGTTTGGTACACGGAACTCAAATTATGGAATTGGAATTGAAGACAATATTTCCAATTCTACTGTTTGGTAGCACAAAAACATGTGGATTTGGAATTGGTAGCACCAAAAATGAATTGGAACTGGAGAATTCAATTCCACCCAAATCAATTCAATAGAATTTCAACTCCTAACTCAATTCCAATTCCGTCAATTCCGTGCACCAAACGGACCCTGAGAGTAATTTAGTCTGGAAATACTCAAATCCTACTAGATGCTGCTCAAGGTGCTTGTTTGCAGTTTTCACTAACTTCAAGGACCACATAGTAATTTGACAAAAAAAAAGTGCGGGATCATTCACGGGGAAAGGTGTTGATTTTAACTACAATGCATGTTGTGGGTGAAGCTTGCGAAGCGCAAATATATAGTGAAAGTTAAAGTCATTGCTTACCCTTCCTTGAGGCGCATAATCCGGTCATCGCTGGATAGGTTCCTATCAGCAAGCCACTGAGAGAAATCCGGAGATAGCTCTCTGTTGCTTTGGGTTACATCAACAACTCTTGATGACTTGACGAAAGGAGCGACCTTAGCTCCATACCCTGCCTTCACCAGAGCTCTTAATCCAGACTGGAAGTCTGATATGTAGAAGTCAGCCACATATTTCTGCCATTGAAAATATATATATATGTAGTCATTACATATTTACACTAGTTGCTAATGTTTAGGATATAGTCCCAAACAAGGTAAGCTTAGAATCCTACTCTCACATAGAACCAAACACAGCCTAAGTGAGAACTTCCAAGAACAATGGCAACTTCCTATGACTAACAAACTTACCTCGGAATACCTTCGGCCCCATGAGAAGAATTTGTGTGTGGGATTCGCGGGTTTTCCACCCCAACCTCTGTACTCATACAATTCTGAGGAAACATATACACATCTTGATATCCTTTGGAAGGATGTTTCAAGAGGAATACTGCCACAAGTGACAACCTACAAAAGGATTGGAATGTAATAAATCATGTGAATATTGAAGAACACATATGATATGATAAGAAAGTCTTGATCTTGAAGGGCAATTAGTTAGAAGAACACTCTTTAGAATCTGGAAGATAAATATGATTGAAATTACCCCTGTGACCTTGACCAACTGTCCATCAATGGCACTTCTCAGCTCGGCATCAGGGTGTTTGTTCAGAAACCCCAAAGCGCCACGTGGCTTCACGTCCTTGACCAATCTGGTGACCGCCGAACTGTAGGCCTTCTTGTTGAAAGACGCCAAGAGCTCGGGCTGGACGGAGCGGGCGCCGTTTGAGTCCAACGGGCCGGAGTTGGATGTGATGAGTCCAGTAGGCTGGATGGGAGCCGGACCAGAGAAGGACGCCGATTTCTTGGGGATCGGGCCGGAGGTGCTCGACTTGTGGCCCTGCTGGCCGGAATTCGGTCTAGATCTGGCGGCACCGCCGTTGAGCTGCTGAGAAGAGGAAGGAGCCCGAGAAAGCGGCTTCGACACAAACTGTCCCTGATGGTGCCCGCCGGATGAGTCTATGCCGTACATTTTCCCCAACTCGCCGGATTTCTTGACATCGCCGCCGGTATAAGGGACGGCGCGCGACGCCATGGTCGGCTGCCGCTCCTTGGCCTGCTCGGGTCGACCCGAGACGTAGAGCCCATTCTTCAGCTGGTGTGAAGCCGTCCGGGAACCCATTTTTTCCGGCGATGGTAAAAACAAATAAACGGGAATTCTAGAGAGAGAGAGAGTGAGGGATTAATTGCTCTGAGAAATGGTGGAAAAATTGCAGAGGCAAAGAAAGTAGAAAGGAGGAAGGAGCTGCAGAGTACGGCGGGTTGGGAGGGCAAAACTGTCAAA